ATCCCCATTTTACAGAGGAGGAAACTGAGGCAGAGAGGTTCCGTAAGTTGCCACGGTCATACAAATATTGGTATTTGTATGGCAGTGTTGGGGTTCAGCCCCTGACATTATGGAGAAGGTGGACGGGTGCGCCCTACAGTCCTGAAAAGCCATGGAAAGCTTTCCAGCTGGAGTAGGAAACGCTCACTGGGTTCCACACTTGGGAGGTCCCCTCTGGCTGCAGTGCCGGCATCGGGTGTAAAGCAGGATGGAGGCTGTGGTTTTCGTCCAGGCCAGAGGTGGCAGTGGTTGGACTGGGGTGAGCTTATGGATAGGATCTGGGCATGATGTGGGCGGGATGGATGCTATTTGGTTTGTGAAGGAGAGGGGGTGGTGTAGGGTGGTGGTGACTCCAGGATGTCTGCTGGGCTAGCGTGTCTGACTTCATTTGAACAAAGCTCCTGCTAAGAATGACTCCAAGTTAATAACTATTGTGTCAGATGGGTAATAGATTTATGGGGGTGACAGATGGGAGAGGGTTGGGGGACAGGTGAAAAAGGGGATTAAGAAGTACAAATTGGCGGTTACACAGTAGTCGTGGGATGTAGGGTTACAGCCTGGGAAATACAGTCAATAATATGGTAATAACTATGTATAGTGTCAGGTAGATAATAGACTAGTCAGGGGGATCACTTCTTAAATTATATAAATGTCTAACCACTATGCTGTACACCTGAAATGGATATAAAATAATATTGAATGTCAAAACAAAGAGTGAAGGGGGGAAAAAAAAGAATGACCCCAAAACCACCTTGGTGATGTGCTGGGTCCCTGTCGATCTGACTTGACACAAAGGTGCCTTAGTGGTCAGCCCCCTGCCCCAAACCTGCGACCTCAGGACTCTAGCTCATGCTCGCTTCCGTCATCTTGCCCACAGATTGACGAGATGCCTGAGGCTGCGGTGAAATCAACAGCCAACAAATACCAAGTCTTTTTCTTCGGGACCCACGAGACGTGAGTGAGGGGGCAGAGGTGGGGGGGGTTCCCCCACTTTGGGGGACCCGGGCCCCTTTCCTGTTGGGCTGTGCAGCTCAGAGGCCGTGAGGCGCCCGAGAGCACAGTCTTGCCTCTTTCACCAGGGCATTCCTGGGCCCCAAAGACCTCTTCCCTTACGAGGAGTCCAAGGAGAAGTTTGGCAAGCCCAACAAGAGGAAAGGGTTCAGCGAGGGGCTGTGGGAGATCGAGAACAACCCCACCGTCAAGGCTTCTGGCTACCAGGTGAGCTGCCATCTGCCCCGAAGACCTCCTGGAGAGCAGGTGTGGCCAGCCACAGGTTCCACAGGTTCGGGGCTCCCGGGCCACACAGGATCCTGCTGCTTAGCCTTCAGGACAGGGTCTCGGGAACCAACGCTGAGGGACCTTTCAGAGCAGGAGCTCATGGGGTGGAGGCGGGGCTTTCCGGTCAGAGGGCGGGGCTTGCAGGTGTGAGGCCTGGGGGGTCCACCACTGGATGGAGGCGGTAAGTGGGGACAGGCCTTCGTTGGGCCCAGCCTTAGCTCTTCCCCAAAGGCTTCCAGGAGGAGGTGCTCAAGAGCCGGGCAGGATGAGGCGGGAGGGCGGGGGGCGGGGGCGCCGGCCTAGCTCCCCTTGGGAGAAGTTGACCCGAGGTTTTGCCTCCTGCTCCAGCCCTCCCCCCTCCTGCACAGAGCCCTGCCTGCCCGGCCAGTGGGTTTACCCCGGGGCTAATCCGACAGAGGTGGGTCTCAAATCACTTGTGAGACTGGGCACCTGGGTGGGGGTGGGGGAGAGGTGGGCGAAGGAAGGAGTGAGTGGCTGAGGGAGGGGTCTGGGCGGGGCCTGCGTGGCAGTGGCTGGTGCCACTCAGCCTGTGCTGTCTCTGCCGCAGTCCTCCCAGAAGAAGAGCTGTGCAGCCGAGGAACCAGAGCCCGAGCCCGAAGCCGCGGAAGGCGACGGTGACAAGAAAGGGAACGCCGAGGGCAGCAGTGATGAGGAAGGAAAGCTGGTCATCGACGAGCCCACCAAGGAGAAGAATGAGAAGGGGGCGCTGAAGAGGAGAGCGGGTGACCTGCTGGAGGTAACTGCCCCTCCCCGGGGCCCAGGAGCCAGGCTCCCAGTCTGAGGGATCCTCTTGGGGAGTCCCTTGCTGAGAAGATGGGACACAGACGGAATCTCAGCCAGCAGAGGGCTCGGGAGGGGCTCTGGGGATCCCCAGGAAGGAGCCTCTGGGGAAGTGGGGGCACAGGCCGGTGGCTGGCATCTGCCCTCCCCAGCCTCAGCCCACCTCGTCTCTGCCAATCAATCTGCCTAGGACTCCCCGAAACGTCCCAAGGAGGCAGAAGACCCTGAAGGGGAGGAGAAGGAGGTGGCCATCTTGGAGGGTGAGCGGCCCCTCGCTGTGGAGGTAGAGAAGAACAGCACCCCCTCTGAGCCCAGCTCTGGCCGGGCACCTCCTCCAGAGGAAGAGGAGGAAGAGGAGGCAGAGGAGGCTGCCAAGGAAGATACTGAGGCCCCGGACATGAGAGATCATGAAAGGTGAGCGAGCCCGCGCCCCAGCAGCTGGGCTGGGAGGGCCTGCAGCAAGCGGTCAGCCTCTCGGGAGGCCCGCTGGGCTCTCCCAGGAGGCCGGCACTGGCTGGGGTGAGGCCGGGCCAAGGCAGCACCATTAACGCTTCTCCCCTCCAACCCTCCCCTGCAGCCTGTAGCCACCAATGTTTCAAGAGGAGCCCCCGCCCCGTTCCTGCTGCTGTCTGGGTGCTACTGGGGAAACTGGCCATGGCCTGCAAACTGGGAACCCCTTTCCCACCCCACCCTGCTCTCCTCCACTCACTCTCCCTCCCCAAGCCCAGCCCCTAGAGATTGACCTGGATGGGGCAGGCCACCTGGCCCTCACCTCCATGTCCCCACACCCCTGTTGTCTGAGTCAGGGCTATGTCTTCTGCTCCGTGCGATCAGATGAGGCCACTGTGTCCCTCCCTGCCTGGAGCTGTCTCCCAGGGTTTCTGCTGAGGCCTGGACCAGCTGTTTCCACCTCCTGGCACCTCTCTGCCCCATCCCCAGGCATTCTGGACCTCTGGGTTGGTTGGGGTCGGGTAGGAGTGGAAAGGATGGAGGCTAAATAGCAGGGTGAGCGTCTAGGGCCTGGGAGGGTCAGTCCTCAAATTGGGGACGGGCAGGAAGACGGCATCTTCTTGAGCTCCCGTCCCTTCTTCCCACACCTTTTATCCCAGCTGCCTAGATTCAGGGAAAGTGGGACAACTTGTGGGGGAGGGGCTCTTCCATAAATGCTTGATTGACAACGCCCATTCGTTCGTTCGCTAACCCCGGGAATTCTGGGAACTGTAGTTACTCATCAGAAGATTTTGGGGCTTCCCAGTTTGGGCCAAGGACCTGAGATCTGAAGGGTCAACCCGACCCACCTTGGGAGAGAGTGTTGCGAAGTAGCTGTCCCTCTTAAAATCTCTGGCCAGAGACAGGATGCCCTGGGGAGACCTTGAGCTGCCCCTTCCCCTCTCCCCACAGTGCTGAAGGCCAGCCTACAGTCACATGTCACCCAGACATAAAGGAAAGACACATTTTTTAGGAAATGTTTTTAATAAAAGAAAATGTAAAAAAAATTTTAAAGACCCCTATCCCTTTGTGTGCCCCTCCCTCGACTCCTTTCTTTCCCACTGTTGCCCCCATTTCCGAGGTGCACTGGGAGGCTCCCCTCTCTTTGGGGCTTGATGACTTTTCCTTTTGTAGCTGGGGCTTTGGGTGTTCCTTCCGGTGTCATTTCCCATCCACATACTCCCACCTGGTCCCCTCAGTGTTGTCACCAGATCCGATGAGTAACCCGCTGAGAGGACCGAGGGAAATGAGTGTCCTCTCCCAACCTCTGTTAGTGGTCTCCGTGCCTCTTCCATCTCTTGTCTCTTTCGCCTGTCTCCCTTGGGCTCTGATGAAAAATTGCTGACTAGCTTTGGAAGTTTAGCTCTGAGAAGCGTAGGCGATTTCAGTTCTAGGAAAATAAACCTGTTGATTACTACATTGGATTCTGACTGGTTCTTTGGGGGGGGGTGTTGGTTAGCTGAACAGGGGGAGTGGGGAAGGGGAACGCAAATGATTTCCATATCCACTTTTCAAATTGAGGTAGGGGGTTGACAGCCTCGCTTCCGTTCTCACTTAGAAATAGCCAAAATTCAGTGAGAGAAAAGTCACAGAGTCAACTACACCATTCATTCTAAATACTTGTGCCCAGCCACTGTTTAACACAGGTTCCCTCATAAGCACCTGGGAAGGTTTAAAAAAAAGCTTGTACAAGAATGGGGTGTGAGAGGGTGCCAGTATCGGCGACGGCCCACGTTGACCATGGAAGTGGGGGTATTTGGGTTGGTTATAGACACAGCCTTGACCCCCAAAGGTCAGAGCTGGGGAGTGCTGGCACCTTCCACTGGTGATTAGGGGCGAGGAGGCTGATCGGGTGGAAACCTCGCAGTGTTCCCTGAGTCAAGTGGAAACGCCGGATTAGATAGATCACCTCAGGTTTCTTCCAGATTTGACATTTTGTGACTAGATCAATGACTGGCATCTTGGAAGGGCCCACATTTCATCCCGTCCTTTAGAAGGTTTTTAATTTGTCCGCGGTCCTTCCACCAGAGAGGGCTGGTGTGGACAGTGTAGCCTATAGCCTTTCCTGGAGAGGGAAGCCCTGTGTTTTGAATAGGAAACCACAATCACCTAGAAAATGGAGCCATCATCCCTAGAAACTTCAACTCCCAGCAGCCCCCACACAGCTTGTGCAGGAATGTGCCAGGTGCGGCAGCCTATCCCGTTTTGCCTCCGACTCCCGATGTGCTTCACGCTGTTCCTACGCTTCTTTGACTTCTTACCCACCCAGTTTCCGGTTCCCCGCACGCTTCGTAGCGGCGGACTACAACTCCCAGCATGCAGAGAGGCTAGGTTGGTGGTTGAACGTCTGTTCTACGATTAGACTACGTTTCCCAGAAAGCCGAGGGACAGGGGCGGGCGGGGCTGGGAGCCCACGTGCAGGAAGTAACAGGCCGAAGGTCCGCGGCGCGAAGGGGAGAGAAGGTGAGGGCCGCGCGGCCCGCAGGTTTTGGCGGCTCTGGGCGGGTCCGGGGAGGGCCGTTCCTTTTCCCCGGTGGTGGTTCAGCGGTCTTGCCCGGGGCTGCCCTGCATCGGAAGCTTGGAGCGGGTGGGTGCTGCAGACTGCTGGGAAGGGGCCGGCGGCGAAGTCTTTGGAGCCGGGGCCTGAGGGACAGACGCTCCACCGCACTACCTTGCAGGGCGCCTCTGGAGCTTGTCAGGAAAGCCCCACAGTGCAAGCGACACCAGCCTCTTCAGGGCTTGGAGGGGGAAAAGGAAAAGACCTTCTGGGATTTCCAGAGCTTCAGATTTGGAATGGCTGAGGTTCAGGGACTTCCTGCAGCAGTCAGGCAGCAGTCGTGGGTCTTGACGCTGGCTCTGCTCCTGGCCAGCTGTATGAACTAGGACAAGGCACTGCAGCTCTCAGGGCCTTGGTTTCCCTGTCTCCTGTCCACTTACCTCACAGGGAAGATCAAATGCCAGTGATGGTGACGTTCCCAGCATTACGTTTGTCACGTAGTAGTCTGATGGGGAACACTGTGGCCCTTACGTTCAACCAGCATTAATTGGAAATAATGTTAAGCCTTTTCCATATTGAGAAGTATAAAGGAGAAAAATGATACAATATCTCACTGTTCAGATAAACCGGTTGAATTTTTTTTTATTTTTATGCACAGGGTTAAAAAATGCAAACGTTATGGCAAGGAACAAGATGGAAAGTAACAGCCCTCCCAAACAGTTCCTCTCCCCCAAAACAAGCACTTTAGCTGTTTCCTATTTCCTGCCCATAAGTATTTATGCCTGTGCCAGAATATATTTTTAATTTACTCAAAAGGGATAATACTATTCACATTGTTCTGTACCTTGCTTTGTTGAAATATTAAGTCACTTGGAATACACTAGCAACCCTGTAAAGTTTTCTGGATGGTGAAACGGAAGCTCAGAAGTTGAGTTGCCTAGGGTCACAGAATAAGATGGAGAGGCGGGAACTGGAACCCAGTCACCTTGACTCCCAGCCCAGAGCTCTTGAGGCCAGTACCGTGCACTTGTACTTTGAAACTGGCTTCGTTCTTGACTGTAAATCAAGATTAATGGTACCTTCTTTCATCGGTTGTCCTTAAGCTTAAATGAGATGGTACAGGAAGCACGCACCATGGCACCTGGCAGGGAGGGAGAAGGTGCCCAATAAACGGAAGCTCTTATTTTGCACCCCGTTCTCTCACCACTCACCCTGTTGATCTAGTCCATCATCCAAAATTGGGAGGCTTCGTACATACTTAGTTGGGAAACTCCAGTTAGCCTGGAGTCTGGCTCAGGGGCCTTTTCTTTTAGAAAAGAAGCTATCTTAGGGAGGCGTGGTCTTTTCCTGACAGGCTGGGCACTGGAAGTGGTGTAGGAACGTTTCAGTCCCAGTTTTTGTCTCTGTTCTGTTTTACTGTGTAACTGGCTGCATTTGGGCCTTGCGCCAGTGTTTTGTCCCATTACCTGTTTTCTTCCTATCCTGCTGTTCATACATTTATTTAATGACTTTTTATTGAGTATCTGCGATGTGCCAGCCCTACTGGGATCTGCCAATTCAGGGGTCAGCTAGATACCTCGGTTCCTGGCCTCAAGGAACTTTTTGGACTTTGAAGTCAGTTACATGTGGGCCTGAAGGCTGATTCTCCTGCCATAGTAGTTTTATGACCATGGGCAAGTCACTTAACCTCTATTTCTCATCTGTAAAGTGACGTCACCACCTTGTGGGGATTCAGTAAGATGAGGTCCACCAAGCAGTGGAGTAAGTGCTTAAAAAACATTCCTCCCTTTGCTTCTTTGCCCCTTTGTTCCCGTCTACCCAGAGCTGACTAGGAAGGTTTCTGGGTCTCCCCAGGGTCAGGGGATTTCGCCCAGCCTCCGGCCATGCGTCTCTCCGCCCTGCTGGCCTTGGCGTCCAAGGTCACTCTGCCCCCCCATTACCGCTACGGGATGAGCCGCCCAGGCACCCTGGCAGACAAGAGGAAGAACCCTCCGGGGACCAGGCGGCGCCCAGTGGCTGTGGAGCCCATCTCTGATGACGACTGGCATCTGTTCTGTGGGGACAGGGTGAGGACCTCAGGTGGGGCGCACTGGGGGGCTCCCCAGCAGAACTTCCCTCCCTGACCTTCGTGCCTCCTGCAGGTGGAAATCCTGGAAGGCAAGGATGCCGGGAAGCAAGGCAGAGTCGTTCAAGTCATCCGGCAGCGGAACTGGGTGGTCGTGGAGGGACTGAACACCGTGAGTGAGGAGTGGGGTGGGGGACACCGGGAGACCTGTGCCATCTGGACCCCGAGTGAGAGCAGGGAGGCAGCAGACTGGCGGAGGGGACGGTGGGACGGCAGAACCTTCTAACTTCCAACATGGTTGGGTGCTGAGCTGCGGTAGGCAAGTCCCCGTCACACCCCTTGGTTTCTGACACCCTCTCTTTTGGACAGCATTTCCGCTACATTGGCCAGACCAAGGATTACCGGGGAACCATGGTCCCCAGCGAAGCACCCTTGCTCCACAACCAGGTCAAACTCGTGGACCCTGTGGACAGGCAAGCACATGGGGCTCTGGCCAGGGGCCACCCTGAGTCCACGCAGGTGTCAACCATGTTATCCAAGGGAAATGGTGGGCTGGATGCTCTGGAAACAGAGGAAGGGGCCACCTCATGGACATGAGCCAGTCAGCAACCCCAATGCAGAAGTAGCAGAGAAACAAGATGGTGACCTCAGTATTCAGCCATTGAATTTTGGCTTGAAGGGCGGCAGGGAGACCTGGCTCCCAGGCCAGACTCACCTCTTCTATCCACTAGGAAACCCACTGAGGTGGAGTGGAGATTCACTGAGGCAGGAGAGCGGGTCCGAGTCTCCACGAAATCAGGAAGGATTATCCCCAAACCTGAATTTCCCAGAGCTGACGGCATCATCCCTGAAACATGGATTGGTGAGGCCGGGTGACGGGCAGGAAGATGGGGGGGTAGGGTGATAGGACCGGGCGTGAGGAGTGCTAAGAAGCCCTCCCACCCCTCTTTCCCCTGGCTCAACAGATGGCCCCAAAGACACATCAGTGGAAGATGCTCTAGAAAGAACCTATGTGCCCCGTCTGAAGACACTGGAGGAGGAGGTGATGGAGGCGATGGGGATCCAGGAGACTCGGAGACACAGGAAAGTCTACTGGTATTGAACCCGGGAGAGCAGGTCCTCCCCTCGCCGTAGCCTTGAAGGCTGGGGCCACCTCTTCAAACATCAATAAAGATCCCTGAGTCCTGCCGTGGGAGCAGCTGCTGTCTTCTGGTGGCCTGGTGCCATCCCACTGCGCCTGTTCCAAGGACTGAAGGGGAGAGGGGGCATGTGACCCAATGTTATGACAGAATCTGATGGAAGTTAGCGAGCCTCAGGGGGTCCTCCCCAGGGCAGGGCCTGCAGATTCCGGGGTGGAAACTGACGGGGAGAGAGGTTCCCTCCAGTGGAGACCTCTGGGTAACAAGATGCCGCCTGTCCTGGAAGGCGGTGGGGTGGGGTGGGGACGTGAGCCCTAATTGTCCCACCTCTGAAGGGTCTCAGTAAAGGAGCGGGGTGCACATCTGTGCTCAACAGAAATAGAGACGGCAATTTTTTAATAAATTAAAAATAAACTCTTACATGGTATTACCTAACACGTGGAGGCAGAGGAGGGGACAAAACTGAGGCCTGTGGGGACCCAGGGTTCCAGGGATGACATGGGACGCTGGCTCTCGGTGAGGACACACACTGCCACGCACTGTGGCACCTGGCTCTGAGGTGTGCCCTTCCCGGGCTGCCTCAACTGTCTTCAGTCTCCAGAACAGAGAAGGCCTGACCCAGGGGCCTCTTGGTGGCCACCAGAACCAGGTTTCTGGGAGAAAGGTCAGGGCTGAAGATAGGCAGGAGCTCAGCATGGAAGCCTGGGGGGAAGGAGGGCTGCTCAGCAGGGAGAGAGAGGCCCGAGCCCCACTTCTGGCTCAGCCTGCAGGCAGGCTTGGCCCCTCTACCACACGGAGGCCCCAAGGAACCAGAGACCCACCCTACCAGGAACACGGCGCCTGAGGCGCTGACCTGGGAGGTGGCTCTTAATGCTGGGGTACTCACTTAAAATGCACCCCAGGGATGCACGCCAGAGGCCAACTGAACAGGCCCCGCATCCCACTCCCATCCCACTGATGACTGAAGGAGGTGGCCTGACAGTCGCCACAGTGACAATCTGTGGGGACTGAAGTAGGAGTCCCTCTGGGCCCGGGTCCCTCACCCTGCTCCTGGAGGTAGAGCAGCCGGTCCAGCAGAATCAGCGTCTCCACCAGCGGGGCCAGCAGCAGGGCCAGGCTGAAGAAGGCCACTACCCGGTTCTCCTGGGCCTGCTGGGCGCAAAGGGCGGCCGCATCCAGGGGCAGCTGGGGGTCCAGCCCCACGCGCTGCAGTCCACGCCGCACGTATCTGTGGGGTCAGCCACACGCGGCACTCAGTCTGAACCTCCCCCTCCCACTCCTAAGTGTCCCTTCCTGATGCCATGCCAGCATTGCTAGATCTGCTGCCCTAATGTACACTTCAAATGTTTCCCTGTCTGTGAGCTGTCCGTCCAACAGCAAATTGATCCAAAAAAATGTATTTTCAACCAGATCTGTCCAATGATTTAGCCATATTTTTAGCACTTAAAATCTTGATAGTCTCCTGATAAAAGAGCGACAACTCCCTTTTAAAGAAACAGAAAGGGCCGGCCGAGTGGCTCAGTTGGTTAAGAGCTCGCTCAAGAGTTTGAGCTCTGAGCAACAGCAGTTCGATTCCTGGCCCGAGCTGAGCAGCCGCTGAGCTGCCAACAGGTGGCAGGATGGCTCAGCTTAAAAAAATAAAAAATAAAGAAACAGAAGCTGCGCCTGATTTTCTTCTGGAAGTGCTAACCACAAGGTGGGGGGGACCAGACTGCCACCCGCCCCTCCCCTCCGGTCTCACTGTTCAATCTTGGCCTCATGGGCCCTGGGGATCCCCTGCACGCCTGGCCGACGCAGCTCGGGCTGGGCCCTGCGGATCGCAGCCTCCAGTGCTGCCCGGTAGCAGTGGGTCCGGAGGCCTGGGGCCGTGTCCTGCAGCCTCTCCGCATATTCCTCCAGGGCGTGGCAGGCCCCCTCCCGCAGCCTGTAGGACAGCTCAGAGCCAGGCAGCGCGGCCACCCACTGACTCAGTGGGTAGCCGCCAGGGTCACTCAACTTCATGTAGCAGCAGCCCACCAAGGCCAGGGCCGCCACCTCAGGGCAGGAGAAGTGCCTCAGCAAGGCCACGCTCAGGTCCCCGCAGGCATGGAGGCCTGTCAGCAGCAGGCGGGCCCCACCCCGAGGCGCGTTCTCCAGCGGGAGCAGAAGCTCGTCACACAGGGCCGTGGGGTCTACCCACCGAGCCACGTGGTGTGGGGAGCAGCGAGGGGCGGTTGGCACCCCCTGTGGAGGCAGGAAGAGACAGGGCAGGTGGCAAGCCTGTCGGCTGTCCCCATGCCACCTCCGGCCACAGGAAGGGATGTGTCCTGTTCCCTCCCACGGAGGCAGGTGGGAAGGAGCTGGGGCGTGGGAGAGAGCTGGACCTTGAATCAGGACAGGAGATGAATTCTGGGTCTAGCGTTAACTGCAAGTGTTTTCACCTGAGTCCCAGTTTCCTCCTTTACGAGTCTAATACCTGATTGGCCACTTCATGGTGGTTGTGGGAAGGACATGGTGGTGTGGAAAGCATTTTGGACGACAGTGCCTTAAGATCTGAAGAGGCTTTGGTGAGTGGGGGACCCGGGAAGAGGGGTAGCGGCAATAGGGACCACACCGTCCCACGCACAGAAACGAGAGGAAACGCGGCCCCCCGGAGGGCTGGCCTACCTGCAGTTTCCTCTTGTCCTCTTTCTCCAGCGTCTGCAGCAGCTCCTGGTCCAGGCGCCGGGCTCTCCCCACCAGTCTCTGATCCCCTTCGATGCTCTTCACCTTCAGCCCCAGCCCCAGGGACATGAAGCGGGAGAGGTGGCCCTGGCGTCAGTGCAAGGAAGGTAGAGACAGCCCTGCTTGGTGCTCTTACCTACTGTCACCTTCTGATCAGGGGCCTAGACACCCGGGTCCCAGGCCCCCAGAAGGCTTCAATTCTGCCGTTTACTTCCCCACTCCCGGGCACCTGCATCCCTGGGCCTGGGCCTGGGCCTGACAAGTTGCCTTCCAGCTGTTCTATCCCCACGACTCAAAAACACCAGAACATTAGGGGTCTTTCTGGCTCACCTGGCCTGAGCCCACATCCACAACCTGGGTGCAGCCCGTGACGTCACTCAGCTTCTTCACCAACTGAAAGAAGAAAGAACAAAGGTCGCCTGGCCACTGGTTCTTGTCCCCGGGGCCATCACCCGTAATGAGGGTGGACGAGCTGCAGGTGGCAGAGGGAGAGGGGTACAGGGAGGGTGCCGTGGAAGAGATGAGACAGAGAAACCACAACGGGGGTGCTGGCCCCAGGCTTGGGCTCCTCTCCTTGCTCCTCTCAGTCTCCCCCACAGAGCAAGAGCCCCACTGTGAAGCCACGAGCAGATGATGGAGGTGTGAACACAGGAAGAAAGTAGTGATTCAAGCACAGCCACCAACCAACCCAGCAAAAGGACCCAAAACCCCCCAAACCAGCCTCGAGGTGGTTTTAGTACACCTGCCAAGGAAGGGAGCTGCCAGGGCCTCCGGTCTGGCAGGTGACATGAGGTGCGCATCTCTGTGACTCACCCAGGCCCCCAGACACCACCCAAACCCAACCAGCTCCTCACCTCTCCCAGCCTCCGGATCTCATGCTGCTTCTTGGGTCTGACATGTTTTCGGAATGGAGCTGTCAGTCGGGAGCTCTGGCTGGGGTTCTCCAGGAACTCTGAAGGGGTCTGAAACCGCGGTGTCCGGGTAAAGGCCAGGGCACGGGCTGTGGACTTCAGGGCCAGCAGGGTGAGTGGCCACACCGACCTGTACCTGAGACAGCCCGGCCCAGGCCCCCGGTGAACAGTCCAATTGCATCCTGAGTGCCCAGCCCAGGAAGCCCCTGTGAGACTCAGCAGTGGCAGGCTGCAGGGTCCAGCACCGAGCCCCCAGCACAGGGCCCCTTGCCCATACCTGACCACTTCCCCTTCCCTGGGCATCTCCAGCAGCAGGGTGGCCAGCTGGGGCGGGTTCAGTCCATCCAACGCTTCCTGCCATGAGCAGGGCAGCGTGCCCCACAGGTTGTCTGTGAAAAATTCCTGCAGACAGGAGAAGCCATCAACAGGCTACTACCTTTCCCACCCTCCCCCACCCCACTCTCAACACAGGGCAACTGGCTGCAACCAGCAGGTCCCCCCTCTTCTATGAAGCCTGCCCTGGCCTCCCTGTCCCTCCTCGGAGCCCAGACTGCATTCTGGACATGTCTCTCCTTTCAGCAGGGTCCCACTTACTTAGGTGTCTGTTTTCTCCACTCAGCTAAACCTAAGGGCAGGGATGGTGTCAGCCCCCAACACCAGTGACTGACATGCAGTCACCTACCATTTAGTAACCTACTGTTATACGTGCCAGACACTTGATATGCCCGAAAGTATTTTTTATCATTTATTGGTTCAACATAAATTCTGGGGCTTGGATTAGGCACCACGCTCTTCCTAGTCTAGGCTCAGGGGATACAATGAACCAGACAGACAAAATTCTTGCTCTTACAGGGCTTACATTAAAAAAAAAAAATCAGGTAACATCAAATGCCACGCTAAGAAAACAACAGGAGAGGGTGAGAGAATGCTACTTTGGAGAGAGTGATGAGGGGATAGTGTCTGAGGAGTTGACACAGGAACTGAGATTTGAATGACGAACAGGACACAGGCATGTAAAAAAATTCATGTAATAGCAAACACTTATGACATGCTTTAATACGCCAGGCGCTGTGCTCAACATTCTACACGGATGAACACATTTAACCCCCCAAACAACCCTATGAGGTAGGTACCATGTTTATCCCCCATTTTATGGACAAGAAAACTAGCACACAATTAAGTCAATTGCCCAAGTCTACAAGCTAGTAAGCAGCCGAGCTGGGACTTGAAATCAACCTGACTCGACAATTCTTGCTTTTAACCACTGTACCCCATTGCCTTTCTGTGGAGGAAAAGCATCCGTGGCAGATCAGGCAGTGCAAAGGCCGGGGGGCCTGCCATATTTGTGGCAGAAACCAGGCCAGTGGAGGTGCAGTCTGGACAATGTGGGAGAGCATGAAACGTGATGGGGTTCAAGAGGCAGAGGGGGACAGACCCCCCCAGGGCTCTGTGGAGAAGGGTAAGGAGTTAGGACTTCATCAAAGCCCCGAGGAAGCACAGGAATGTGGTGATCAGATAGATTACATTTTAAAGACATCAATCCGGCTGCTTGTGAAGAACAGCATGGAGGGGCTGAAGTAAATACAGAGATCAGTTAGGAGGCGGCTTGGCCCAGGGTGGCAGCCATGAAATGGAGACAAACGGGTGAATTTGGTATCTATTCTGGAGGCGGGGCCAACAGGGCTTCAAGTGTTGGGACTGTAGGTCGATGAAGGGCTGAATGAAGGATGGCTTCTGGGTTTGGGGGCCCAACAATTCAGTGGATGCTGGTGCCACTAACACAGCATCTCATTTCTTGTTCACAATGAGCCTTCAAACAAGGATCCAGTTCACAGCTGAGAAAACGGGGCCAGGAGAAATGTTTATTTAACGTCTATGGTTAACACAGCGGGGGAGGCAGGGTTCTTAGTCCGAGTCTGTGTGACTCCAAAGTCGGAACTGTCCGTTACATGACAAAACCAGGAATTGACTCAAAGCGTGAATGAATGAACATGTGTGTTCCTCCGAGAGTTCAACGTAGCTGTGGCATGGCTCAAATGTCCATGCGTTTTATTATTCTGGATTTGGAAAGGTCAGAAAAACCTAGATGTGAGAAATATTAATATCTGTGTCATTGTAAAAAAAAAAAAAGGGGGGGGTCGCCCAGTTTTAACCCCTTCTTGTAAAGACTGACAAACTCCTGGAAGAGCTCAGAAGCTACCTCTCCTCTCTCCCCGTCGTGGGCACCTAGCCAAGCACACAACCGGGGGGCCCCCCCACACCCCCGTGGCCTCACGATGATGTAGGCGTCCACGATGGAACGGTAGAGCGACAGGACACGGGTGAGGTTCGCGGCCAGCTGCCTCCTCTCCTCGTAAGAGAGGCCCCGGACGGAGACGCCCGGCATCCGGGACCCAGCCGGTGGCGCCGGGAGCAAGAACCCGGTGAGGAGAGAAGCAGGGTGAGCACCACGCGGGGCTGGGACCTGGGACCCGGGACCCGGGACCCGGGCTGGGCTCAGCTCTGCGGGCGGGACGGGACGAAGGCGCTCTGCATGGGTCGCCGACGCGGCCTTTCCGGGGTTCCAGGTAGGCGTCGGAGACCTGAGGCGCCCTCCTGACGTCACGGCTGGCGACGTCCACAGCGTCCGAGACGAGTGGAGCGGGGTGCCGGGCAGTGACGCCACAGAGGCGGGCCGCGGCGCCCAGGTCCCGCCCCTTCCCCTGCGCTTCCGGCTCCTCCCGGAAGTGAGGCCCGGGGCCCCGGCGCGCGGCGGTTCCCGTTTGTCGTCGGCTCCCCACACCTGACGCGTTGTACCTCCACGGGGCTAGCGGGGCCGGGGAGCGCATCCCGCCCCCGCCTCCGCCCCCACTGCCCCCGCCGCCGGCGCCGCCGCCGCTCGCGCACTCCGAGTCCCTGGCTTCGCTCCCGGAGGCGGGGGCGCTGCAGGAGCGCGCGCGCCGGTCCCCGGCGCGTTCCAGTCCGCGCGCCTGCCGGCCCCGGTCCCGGTCCCGGCCCCGTCGGTGCGCGCCAACTTCCGTATCCGGTCCCGGGCGCTTCCGGTTTTAGCGGGCCCATCTAGGAGGTAGGTGGTCGCGCGGGGGTGGGCTCCGTGATCGGGACCCGTGTGCTCGCCGAGGGAGGCTGTCCCCGGCTTCGGCCTCCCGCCTGCTGCTGTGTGTTGTCAGAGGTTCTTTCTTGGGAGAATTCTGGACTTGGGTGAGGTGCACGTGGAGATTCCCTCCACCTGAAGATGAGGGAAAGGGGTGCATGGAGTTGTATCTCGGTTTGTGGGGCCCGCGCTGGGGATGCCTGGGTAATCCAGAGGTCATCTGTGCCGTACTCGTCACGGCTTCCGAGCGCCCTAAAACGCCCTCTCCGTGGGCAGAAGATAGAGCTCACCTATTCTGGCTTTCCAGACTCACAGAGTTCAAGCTGGTTGGCCCTCCAGCCCCCGCAGTTTACAAATGAGACAGATCTAGAGAAGGGGAATGGCCTTCCTGAGACCGTTCGGCCGGTGAATTGGGGGGCTTCCTGGCTCAGACAGTGCTCCTTCCGTCGTTTTGCATTGCAGGCTCATCCCCCCCTCTGTCTAGGAGGCTGATCTGAGTCCTACGGAGATGGGTCTTACTGTTCTCCCAAACCTGCGGGCCCCGTTATCAGGTTCACTCTCTTCCCCAGGGCATGCCACAAACCTCCAGATACTGGTCTGTGGGACTCAGCAGAGCATGAGTCGTCTGTCCTTGCATCCGTAAGCCACTCTCCCAACTGCTGCCCCACCACCCACCGTCCTCATGTCTACCTTACTCCTCAATCTGGATTTTGGCAAACCTCCCCCCAAAAAGGCATTAGATGGGAACGCTAAGCACCAAAAGTTTGTCAAAAAGCGGCGGCTCTTGGAACGGAGAGGCTTTCTGAACAAGAAGAACCAGCGCCCCAGCAAGGTGCCCAAGCCGCCCTCAGAACCTCCAAGGAAAGGGGAAGCCCCTCGGGTGGATGGCACTTGGAAGGTCCCTCCTCTCGCAAAAAAGAAGAAGACCACTGTCGCCGGCAGTGGGTCAGAGCAGTTCCTGGACAAGAAAACGTCTGTGCCTTGGCTGACCCCTGCCCCTTCACAGAAGGCTGGTTCTCTTGTGGCTACAGTGGATTTGCTCGGGGAGTTCCAGAGTGCCCTCCCGAAGATCAAGAGCCCCCCAGCTCGGCCCCGGAAGAAGGGCCCCCAGAAGAATGCCCCCCAGAACTCCACCCAGGCTCATCCAGGGAGTACATGCTCTGAAGCATCCCAGAAAACGCCAACAAAGATGGTGGCAATTGACTGTGAGATGGTGGGCACAGGACCCAAGGGACATGTCAGCTCTTTGGCGCGATGTAGCGTCGTCAACTACAGCGGAGATGTGCTCTATGACGAGTACATCCTTCCCCCCTGCCACATCGTGGACTACCGCACCCGGTGGAGTGGTATCCGGAAGCAGCACATGGTGAATGCTACGCCTTTTAAGATTGCTCGGAGCCAGGTGAGAGGCGCGGGGCACACGGGGGGGCAGGGTGGGTGGGGAGAGGTCCACGTCACTTACAGCCCAGGATATCACCCTGGGTGGGTACCAAAGGATTGTGGAGGGAGACAAGGAGGAAATGGAGTATCAGCTGAGGAGGAACAGGTCCTGTTGGAACAGGTAGGGAGTGGTGAAAGTCTGAAAAGTTCCAACTAGCTATGGAACAAACCTTAAGACTTGTTAGGTCCTGAGGGGGATACTGACCTGGGGAACTGGGACTCTGCATAAAGAAGTAACAGGGAGCGATGGACAGAGCAGCAGGCACGAGCACCAGGAAAGAGGGTTCTATGTGGGAACGCCTTGGACAGTTGGAGCCAGGGTTGAGGTCAGAGGTAGAGAGGGCTTCGCAAACAAGAAGTAGCTTGTGGCGGGTGTGGACAGTGGGTGGTGGAAGCTGGCAGGATGTGGACAGAAGGAGCCGGGCATTATCTGTGCAAGTGGGACAGGTCGCCTGCAGTGGCGGGGACAAAAGACAGATGTCAGGTTTCTCTTTTCACTGAGCTGCTGTCTTCCTGTAGTCCGGTGCGCGTCGCTGGGAGCACAGCCAATGACTACAGGAGAGGAGAGATGAAGGGAGAAAGTGAAGGGCGGCGGGCCAGTCCTGGGACGCCTCCAGAGGGCGCCCGTGGCCTACGTCTCATCATTTCAGCTCCACAGTCTTCACCTTCTCTAGACACTTCCGATAATTCCTTATATGCCACAACAGTCAGTTGAAGGAGGTTCATCAGAGGTGAAACGGTTGCATTTCAGAAAGAACTTGGAAGGAAGAGTGGGAGAACGCCCTGTCGCCAGGGGCACAGCTGGCAGAGGCGTGGGGCAGGAGATGGGCGGGTCTGAGGCAGCAACCGACTGCTCAGCGCGAATGGGGCGCTGTGCTGGGGGACAGCAAAGGGCAGGTGAAGTTGGCAGCTGAATACCTGGCTGATGGCACTGCGCACAGTTTGTTGTGAGGCAGTGCCCCAGTGCCCATGCTGGGGTGTGGGACCGAGGCATCCAGGTGAGTGTGGCCCCTTCCGAGGCTCCCCCGGGAGGCCATGCCCTGATTACCCAGGATGTGGTGTATCCTTTGGATGTCTTCGCTGGTAGGATGTCCCCTACCCTGAGATCCTGAAATGATGAGAAGTTACTTGGATCCACATCTAGTATTAAGAAGGTTCCTGGACAGCTAGCAGGTACCCTCTAGTTAGGAGCAAGAGGCACTCTAAAGCCACAGGACTGACAGTTAAAGCAGCACACGCGTGGGTCACCTGACCAGTTTCCTCGGCAACCTTAGTCCATAAGTGATTCTTAATCTCTCGTGGCCTTTTGAGAGTCTGATGAAAGCCTCAAAAAAAGAGGAACCCATACCTGTTCGCATATGATTTGGGGCTTGCATCAGCACCGTAGAGCCAGTCTTTGACTCCATTTGTCCCAGCCTTGTGCCTAAGGTCAGCATAACGATAATGGTTAAAGGACTTCAAGTAGCAAGTCAGAACCGCACTGGACAGTTACATAAACATCTCACACGTGAGCATGATTTGGGACTTTGGGTAAATTAATGAGAAGGTGAGGAAGGAACCACTGGTGATGTATTGGGTTGTCGGAAAAGTCATGACGCATTTTTGCAACGAAAAACAAAAGATAATGTTATGACTTTTCTGACAACCCAGTAAGTCCAAACAGGGTTACACTGTGAAAAGCCTGCTTTTGCCTCAAGTGGAGATGGGAGTTCAGGGGAAAGAAAGCCTGTGGGGGGCATTTCAAGGATGAGGCAGGCAGGCACTGGCTCCACCTCCACCCCCGAGCCCCCTCTTGCACGCCGGGCTCCGCCTCCGAGCCCTGCTCACCCCATCTTGCGCGGTTTCAGATCCTGAAGATACTCACAGGAAAGATCGTGGTCGGGCACGCCATCCACAACGACTTCAAGGCCCTTCAGTACGTCCACCCCAAGGCCCTCACCCGCGACACCTCCCACATCCCCCCGCTCAACCGGAAGGCTGAATGCCCGGAGAATGCCACCATGTCTCTGAAGCATCTCACCAAGAAGCTGCTGAACCGGGACATCCAGGTAGCGTGCCCCCAAATGCTGCCAGGCGCCTGCTTGGAGTGCAGCCGCCCTTGCTGCTTCCCCGGGCTCTGGCCCCAGAATTGCTTCAGTTGTGGAGAGATCCAGGCAGGCTTCTCTTACGAGAGCACGTTGGGCTGAGGGCCCGGTAGCCTCTGTTGCGCAGGGGAGCACTCGTGTCCTCTGCCTCCCGGTGTTCCAGAGCGCACCTAGGTGGGTGTAACAGCCCGCGCAGAGGAGAAAGGGCAACGGCGCTGGTCTGGGACCCCCACCGTGGGTGCAGACACCGCTCGTGTATTTCACACGTTGGCATTCAAGGAGGGCGTGGCCTGCCTGGTAAGGGGGTGACGTGTCATAAGTAGGGTTAAGGAGCTGGGGAGGACGGGGACTCAGAAGGCCTGGCTGTGCTCCGGATGGCCTGCAGAATGTGGAACACTGGCACACACGTTGCCATGGGACGGAGCAGACAGTGGCCAGGACGTCCTAGGACTTGAACCCTCAAGATCAGACGAGCTGTAGACCTGACAGAGGTCTGCCTTCGGCCCACTAACTGCAGGAGCAGCAGCATGGGGACCAGGCGGCCTCCGGGAAGGGAGCAAACCGTCTCTTGTAGCTTCATGCTGTTCTCTCCCCCGATCCAGGTTGGGAAGAGTGGACATTCCTCTGTGGAGGACGCTCAGGCCACCATGGAGCTGTACAAGTTGGTTGAAGTCGAGTGGGAAGAGCACCTGTCCCAGAACCCCCCAAAGGATTAGCAGCAATGGAGGGCACAGATGATGGGCAGCCTACACAGGAGTGGCGATGGACCGTGGGCAGCCCCGCCAGCTCGGCACCTTCGCAGCTAGCCTTGCTGGGACAGAGGCACCACCCCACGCTAACACCCACTGAAACTTCACCTCAGGCGTTGTGTCCTGTGTCTGGCTAAGTGTCCTGTGGAAGGAGGGAGTCTCCCTGTCGGCACCTGGCCCTGTACTGTTTACCTCTGAGATGGTGCTAGCCACAGGCCCAGGGGGCTTGGCTCTCCACAAGCTCTCTGACTTTCAGTGTGCAGGGCATGCTGGGAAATGTAGTCCCCAACTGCCTAACCACTAGGGTGGCCCCATGTCCCCTTGTACGCCCTTTGTTCTGGAGTGATTAACAGCACCCTCTTTCACGCTCTCAAGTACCCTGTGGGATAATGAACCGTATGATCATAAACGCACCTCAGAGTCGCATCCAGCCTGGGTCATGACACCCCCTGGTCTTCCCACGCCAACTCCCAGAGGAGCCACCCTGCTGAGGGTTAGCTCTTGGGGTTAGAGCGTGTGACATGGAAATGAACTTTTCTAATTGAGGGAAGCAGTCCCTTTCCTAAAGCAATCAAGGATTTATTTAACGTAGATCCCACTTGGTAGGTTAAAAAAGAATTTAAAGTGTTTTCATGGTTTTTAGTCTTTGCTTAAAGCAAGCCTCTAAAAATTCAGATTATTCTCTTGAAAAATTTTTTATAACGGAAAAACAGTTGTGTGGTGTTTTCCTTTTGAGTTCCCATTGAATCACTTTGTCACAAGGACTTACAGGCTATCATCATTCTGAAAAGCTTCCAGAGTCTCCGATGGAACTAACGGCCCTTATTCTCTGGAAGTCGTCAGGCAGCTCGTGTGCTCTGGTGTCTTGTCCTCATCCTTACTACAAATCCAGGAGTGAAAGTGACCCCACAAGCCACGTGAGCACTTTCACACGGAGGGTCTGTGACTAGAGTGACTCAGTGGGCGTGGGGGGCAGCAGGGTAATGGTGACACCGGCCTGCTGGCCCCTGCTAGCCCTTCCTGTGTGGTACACACCTTCTCCTTGGGTGTTGGACAGGTGAGTCGCAGGTTTGACCTTGTCTGGCGACACCGTCTGCATCCTATCTTGCGAGAATGCAGACGACACACCGGGACTTGTGCCCTCTTAAGTGGCCGTTTGGCTCCAGGGCCCAGAGTCACAGTCGTGGCTGCCTGAGCAGGGGACTCCTGCAGCCACTGGACCCACATGGCTTGCTGTCGTGTCCTGCTCTGTGGGACCTGCTCGCACAGTCTGCTGTTGCGCTCTGACAAGTTGGTTCCTGCAGAGCCCTACAGGAAACGTCCGTGACACTTCACAAAGAGGTGCCAGGCGCCCTTACACACCTCTCAGTGGTAATAACCTAGAAAGTCCACACCCAAAATGGCATACACATGAAAGTGAGTCTTCATTACCTTGTGGTCAGTGGATTAGAAATTCTCATTCGAGTTCAGTCTTCAGGGTACCTGTTGCTGAAACAACCTGGCTTTGTGTGTTTCGGTAAGTGTTGGAAAGAGCCCTTTACTCACCAGGAAGAACTCGGCGAACCAGAGGACCTTGCAGCCATTTCCTTGCTGTTTTCTCTCATCACACTTTCTGGTCAGAGACCAGCTTGTCCTGCAAGGGTGCCTGGGGATCCCTCGTCCTTGAGTCCCCTTCCTTTTCCATCTTCTGTCCCCAGGATCCCAGCTTCATCCAGTTGATGATGGACCAGTCCTATTGCAGATGGCCGCCTGAACTGTCAGCAAACCCTGCTTTAAATCCAAGAGCCTTCAGAGCAGATCATGTGCTGTGATAAAACACAAGCTCTTGTAATATTGTCATCATGCATAATGACATTTTCTAATGCTGAGGCCCCTACTGCAGATAAGCGGGAAGTGTACGCCTAACACTGGGTAGTCTAAAACTTCCTTACTCAAGGTCCTTAAAAGGGGTGGGAGTGTATTCTGGGATTTCAGGTGGCAGTGCCGCCCCTCCCTCCACCCTCAGGAAGCCCTGACTTAGTAAAGGCTCTAAGAGGAAATCGTTTAATGCCCAGTGTAACATGAAGACAGTTGACAATAGGAACCATCAACAGTACTGTACGATCTTGCCCCAAGACACACTAGCCCAAGTCCAAGTTGAGAGAAATAGGCACTACGTGATAACGCCAGGCACATCCACGTATAGTTGTACTGTTCACAAAGCACTTAGCTGTACCCCAGAGAGCTGGGAGAGGAACAGCATGTTGCCTCATTGGACACTGGGTTTTTTGTGTTTGTTTTTTTAAGATTTTATTGGGGAATTGGAGAGGAACAGCATTGGAGAAACGGGGAAGGGGAACAGACAAGTTGCTGTTCTTTTTGTTCTTCAGTCTAGTGGAGGACGTCGCTTCACGGGCCCATGTTGGTATTCTCATTGTGCTCTTCCCAGGTGAGGCAGTTCGGTCGCCGGCCATTGGATGGCCGCTCACGGCGGCTCTCGGCCTCTCACACCGGCTGCTAGCCACTCACGGTAGTTTACAGCAGCCCGCTGCAGCCTACGCCATCACTGGCGACACAAGGCAGCACAGCTCCAGGTCGAGCTGTTGTTCACCGTCTTAGCCGTAGAGGGCACAGCGTCACTGGCCCTCATGTGGGATCCAAACTGGGGCCCTGCTGCTCAAGCTGGCATCCCAAGCCAACTCTTAACCAACGTGCCACTCGGCCGGCCCGACACTGGGTTTTAAGTTTGCTTTTGCCACTTACTAAATTGGTGACATTAAGTCACTGCTTCTAGGGGCCTTGGTGGTTCTGGCATCAGGTCCTGGATTCTTTTCTAACCTTGATGTCGCACTGGTGATTGCTGTCATTGATGATAATGGCAGCTATTTACTGAGGTGCCTTGTCCCATTCTCTGTAAGATGGGTGGTGGTGGTCTAATTTAACAACAGGAAACCGAGGCTGACAAAAGGTAAATCTTCCCCAGGCCAAAGAGCTGGAGGTTGGCGCTGGCGCTCAGCCTGCCCAGTCTGCCAGCCTGAGACCTCTGCCCCCCACCACCACTGCCCTACTCTGCTGTTAACGTCCCAGCACATCTGGGGACATGGGTCCTTCCGCTGCGATCGTCGTGAGGCACTCTGTTCCAGGCAAGATGGTGCTGGCAGCCAGATGGAAACCGGGTTGCAGAAGGGCCCGGGGTGAGTTCTGTTTGAATAGTTTGGGTGAATGATGACGGAGGCCTGAAGCAACGAAGTGGGGAGATGCATCTGAACACATGGAGAAGATGGAATTGATGAGACCAGAGATGAGGGCAAGAGGACTAATGGTGGACTCGGAATTCCAGTGGACAGACAGCAGAGATGCCAGTTGTCGGGACAGAGGCAACATGGCAGGCAGAAGTGCAGGTTTTGGAGGACGGTGACATGGGTGTGGATTGGAGAAAGCCAGCTACCTGGAGAAAGCCAAATGGAGATGTCCAGACAGCAGCCGGAGGCACCAGGCTGGAGCTTGGAGTGAACGGGGGCTGGAAACGAAGCCTTCGAGACAGCGGCACAGCAGTGGGATGAGGCCTTAGACATATAAAGAGGAGCAGAAGGTCCAGATCAGTCTCAGGAACTAACACACACCCCCAGCTCTGCCGCCCCCCCGCCCCCCACCTCACAAGCTGCTGGAGGAAGAGGAGGACCAAGGAGACTTCTGAAGGACGGAGATTGTGTCAAACACCACAGAAAGGGTTGGAAGGATGAGAGAGAGGGGGGCCTGTTTGTTGTAGCACTTGAGTGCCCTTCATCTGAGCAGTGTCCGGGGTGGGGAGGGTAGCAAGGAGCTCAGTTGGGGGTTGGGGGTGAAGAGGGAGAGAAGGGGGTGCAGACTGTTCTTTCTTGGCTCTGGAGAGACGTGGGTGGGGGTCGCTGTAGGAACGAGAGGCCTGAAGGTGCCAAGGGACAAAGCCAGCAGAGCACGAGGGGGCTGAGGAGGGGCAGGTTACAATGGACCCAGAGAGTAGAGGGAGGGACCCCAAGCTTAACCTGGGCCAGCAGGAGGCACCCCTTGTCTTCTGGGACAGAAAGGACAGAGGAAAGCGTAGGGCAGCTGGGTGGCAGTAAAATAGTGACCTTGATTGTTCATTAAATTGGAGGCAGAGGGATTTGCTGAGCTTGAGGGCGAAGCCAGGGGGCAGCATTAAGACAGTTTGGGGCCACTGAGCAGATGGGAGCGTGAGCGGAGGAGAGCCAAGGACGGCCCTCTGAATGACAGCGGGGTTCCTGATTGAGGCCAGAACCTGAACTCGCGGGGGCGCTGCAAGCTGCTTGTCACGTTTGTCCCTAGAATCATTTGGCAGCCCAAAGACAGAATGGCTGTGGTCCCCCGGGGAGGGTCCGGAGAGGCCCTTCCTTTAGGGGCTGATAAACGATATGCAGAAAAGTGAGGGGGCGAGGCAGCGACATACGTACCTAAGATTTTAGATGGCTGTTCAAAGAAGACTTCTCTGAGGAGTGACGGTTGAGCAGAGACCTGAAAGAAGTGAGGAAGAGAGCCATGTGACAACCTGGGGGAGAACGTTCCAGAGAAAGTGTTAGGTACAAAGGCCCTTGTTCCGGGAGCAGCAAGGCCAGCATGGCTGAAGCAGAGTAGGTAGGGGGCAGTGGGCAGGGGGAGAGGTAGGCGCGTAACAGCCCCGGAGGCCATTGCAAGGGCTTGGGCTTACATCTGCGGGAAGCAGGGAGCAGCGTTCTGGGCAGAGGAGTGGTGTGAACTGACTTACGGTTGAAGGGACTCCCCGTGGCAGCTGTGAGGGCAGAGAATGGGCACAGAACCCACGCAGTCTCTTGTAACCTAAGCAAGGGATGACAGGAGCTGAGGCAGTGGGGGTGGTAAGTGGCCCAACTGGGGACATACATAGATGCTCTTTGATGGGTCTGACCCTGAACAAATGTTTAAATCAAGGCCCATATTTTTGGCCTTTCAACTCCCACCCGAGCGCCTGTACACACTGGCCCCCAAAAAGTGCTCAGGGAGTACATGCACCCTCAGAAGTGGGGGCCCACATGTGCTGCAGACTCTGGGCACGCAATCAAAGAGCATGGTGTTTTTCAGGCAGAGACAGCACGTTAAGTGACACGTAGTGGCACTTGGGGGGCAGGGGTCATGGTGAGCCAGGTCTCTCCCCCAGCCCTGCCCTTGGTGCCCTCCCCTGCCCTCCCCTTGCGTAGCTGTGCTGACTGACTGGTCTTATTTCTTTCTTCCTCTCTTTAATACCTACAGCTTCTAGCCTTATTTAGGGGCACCATCCACGCTCCGCTCTCTTTGAAAGGATATACAGAACGCATAGGATTTGGAGAGAGGTGAGGGTGGGGAAGAGGTGGGGAGAAAAGGTGTTTTTAAGAATTTGGCATGGAGGGCCAGCCGAGTGGCATGTTGGTTAAGAGCTGGCTTGGGACGCCAGCTCTGAGCAGTAGGGCCCCAGTTCGGATCCCACATGAGAGGGCCAGTGACACTGCCCTCTACAGCTAAGATGGTGAACAACAGCTCGACCTGGAGCTGGGCTGCTGTGAGTTGCCAGCGACGGCATGGGCTGCATGGGCTGCCATAAGCTACCATGTATGGCCGGCAGCCAGTGTGAGCGGCCAGCAGCCGGTGTGAGCTGCCAAGAGCCGCGCAGTGAGTGGCCGTCCAGAGGCCAGCGACCGATCTGCCTCACCTGGAAAGAGCGCAATGATAATACCAACATGGG